AAAAAAAAAAAAATCATACTTTCCACGAATAACATTCTCCTGCAAAAGATCACGCACAACTGGAATAAGATTCGCTGTATTGACGATATTGACCTAAACCAGCCACAGTTAAAACAGAACTGTTACTAACAGACAAATGTAAAAACGTAGTGAAGTACCTGACGATGAATCTTCTTCTTCAGCCTTTCCCAATTTATTCTTTGATACTGTTCGCTGCCTTTATCAGCAATCTGGTCTTGCAACAACTTCAATTTAGCAGGGGGTATATAAGCCCCACCTGTTCGAGTTCTTAGATCTACTGGTGCTTTCTCATCGTTTTTATCTTTCTTTTCCTCGTGGTGAGGCATGCTAAATTTTAATTCTTCAATTACGTCGTGCGATGAAGTAAATAAAACGATACACTTAATAAGGAAAAAAAAGACAAAAATTATCTGTAATACACGAAAAGACGGAAATAAAATTAAACTGTTTCCCGCACGACTTTTCAACATGCCATGAAGATATGTTAATAAAACGTACCTAAAAATGTAAGTTTTCTTACTTTATTTATCTCATTAACTGCCCTTGAAGGAGGTCAAACAAAAATAATTTCAAGACACAATGAAAGCCTTTTAAACGGCTTCTGCAAAGTCTTAAAAACTCAAAAACTACTTCCACAGAAGTACTTCAGAAATAACTAAAAGTTACAAAAGATAACCCCTCGAAACAAAAAATCACTCAACCACACAAGTCTTCAACATAATAACAGATTACCCTACAAAAAGCAATTCTGAATACCCTAACGATATTCCCACCATACTGGGTTGCTTTGACCTGTATTGATACCACAGCAAATATCGGACAATGTGACCGTGAAAACTGCTAAACTCATGATGGAATTTGTGTAGCAGATGAAGGATGCATATGCATAAGAACTATAAGGAAACATGAAACGGGTAAAATATTGCATCGAACTTTCTTAACGCTTTAAAAAAGTGATAGTTCTCAGATGCGCCCTTAATAAAGGAAACAAGGGCGTCGCGAAAACTGAAGAAACTGAAGACGCTGGTAGAAGAGTTGCATGGCTCGGAAACGAAGAGTTTATAACTTTTGGAATTAACCCATAGGTTTCCGAAGCGATTTTTTTTGGCAAGGCTCCACCGTGATGAACCGCTGGAAGAAACAAGGAAGCAGTTTGTCTTCAGCCATATAATGACATCAATAGAACATCATGAATGTTCCATTTTTTCCAGTTTTCGCTTGAACTCTTATATGTCTTTTATTGTACAGGTTGTAAGTAAGACACAAAGTAAAATTTTCAAAACCACTATTGATTCTTCCTTTTTTTTTTTTTACGAAACATGCCAAATACAAAATTGCTTTTCTTTTACTACAGTAGTTTTGTAGCGTAGCTTATTTTGAGAACCTTGTTCTATGACTTTTGCGTAAGCTACTGGCTTAGATGGTTATTTTGCGAAAAGAGACGTTTTGCAGCATTAACTATAACAAATTAAATCGGAACATCTATGACGTTTGGAAGCTCAACAAAAACGAAGCGTGGTCACCACTGGCTCTATACACAAC